TTTCTAAACATGCGGCTCTCTTGTGCGAAACAATAGATGTCCATCTAGAAAATGCGATAAATATGCGTTCTGTGTGAACGGCTTGGTTCCAGTAGATCTTCTCTGCATTGATGTTCTCTTTCTCTGCAATATTTGGAATGAACATCGCAGCAGCGCCGCTTCAGCTGGACAGACTAACAAACACATTAAAAACCAACCACACTTACATCGTCATCGCATCTCATGCGCCGCTGATAAAGCAGCCTGACGCACACATAACATTCAAATGCAACGTTTTTGCATTCGAATGAGGATTTTTATTTCACACCTTGTGTTTGTGTCACACCTGAACCGATGTCCTCCGAGCAGCAGGTTAAGATGCAGTCTTTCTCTGACGACTTGGCTCGGGCCACCATGACCGTTCCCTTCTGATCCAGAGCCACACGCGTGTTTACAGCGACGTCCCGATGCTGCCGAGAGTAGCACATCTCTCTGTCGGGGTCCGGGGTCCCGCCGCAGACGTGCAGGACACACAGCAGCAGAACACAGCTGAGGAACATGACGTGATGTTTGAGGAACACCGAGCAGAAGAGACAGACCTGCACACAGCAAACCAGTCCACAATCAGAGCCCTGAGAGAAAAGCCAACGAGCGTCTCGATCGAGATTACGTTATCTGTTCAACCCTGTTTATGGATCCTGAAGTCCAAAGAGCTCGATCCCGTCATCATCAGCTCTTGATAAAAACCCACATACCAAGAATACTGAAGATTCAGAGAGATCGCACATAAATCAACACCATCGGGTCATGCACATTCAGAATCAGATCAGAAAGAGCCAAATTGCCAAGTATGTTTGCACATACAAGGAATTTGTTATAGTGTCACAAGCTTCCAGTACATGGAGACAACAACAACGCACAGATAATACAAATAAGATGTGAATAAAATACACATGCATAAATATAAACCACAAAAAAAAGAATAAATTGTATGTACAGGTGTGCTATAGATAGAATAGGAATAGAATAAAATAAAATAAAATAAAGTTGTAGGGATGTACTAGGATTTAGGGTGATAAATAAGTATAAGGTTATTGCACATACTTTAAATAACATTCATTATTATTGCCAATGTATGTTGAATATTGATGAGCTTTGAAATGATTACGAGCAGGCAGTGATGAAGGCTGATCTCCATCCGATCCGGTTCACAGGAAGAACTTTGATCTGCTGTAGAGGAACGTTTATCACAGACCGTCATAAAACGACACCTTCACCTCTGCTCTCGTCACCTTCGAGCTCATTCACAACAGGACCAATGATCACATCACTCACACATGACTTCTGAAGCAGAGAGCTGGTGTGACTGATGAATGCAGCGTGATGGAGAAACTGCTGGAGGGGTGCAAAGCTTCTCTAGATCAGATGCCTGTGTGCTGTGATGCTGATGTGATGATGCTCTGTGATGTGTTGATGATATGATGTGATGTTATGATGTGATGATGTTCTGTGATGTGATGAGCTGTGATGTGTTGATGTGATGTGATAATTACATTTACATTTTGACATTTAGCAGACGCTTTTATCCAAAGCGGCTTACAAATGAGGACAATGGAAGTGATGCGATGTGATGATGATGTGATTATGTGATGTTATGCGAGGATATGATACGTTGTGATGTTCTGTGATGATGTGATGTTCTGTGATGATGTGCTGTGATGGTGATATGATGATATTCTGTGATGTGTTGACGTGCTGTGATGATGATGTGATGTTCTGTGATGTGTTGATGTGCTGTGATGATGATGTGATGTTCTGTGATGTGTTGACGTGCTGTTATGCGATGATGTGATATGATGTGATGTTATGATGTGATGTTCTGTGATGATGCTCTGTGATGTGATAATGTTCTGTGCTGTGATGATGTGATGTGATAATGTTCAGTGATGTTATGTGGTGTGGTGTGATGATGCTCTGTGATGATGATGTGATGTTCTGTGATGTGATTATGTGCTGTTCTGTGATATGATGATATTCTGTGATGTGTGATGTGATTATGTGATGTTATGCGAGGATATGATACGATGTGATGTGATGTTATGTGATGTTGATGTGATTATGTGATGTTATGCGAGGATATGATACGATGTGATGGGATGTGATGTTATGTGATGATGATGTGATTGTGTGATGTTATGCGATGATATGATGTGATGTTATGATGTGATGATGTTCTGTGATGTGATGAGCTGTGATGTGTTGATGTGATGTGATAATTACATTTACATTTTGACATTTAGCAGACGCTTTTATCCAAAGCGGCTTACAAATGAGGACAATGGAAGTGATGCGATGTGATGATGATGTGATTATGTGATGTTATGCGAGGATATGATACGTTGTGATGTTCTGTGATGATGTGATGTTCTGTGATGATGTGCTGTGATGGTGATATGATGATATTCTGTGATGTGTTGACGTGCTGTGATGATGATGTGATGTTCTGTGATGTGATGATGTGCTGTTCTGTGATATGATGATATTCTGTGATGTGATTATGTGCTGTGGTGATGTGATGTGGTATTGATGTGCTGTGCTGTGATGATATGTTGTGATGTGATGTGGTGCTGATGCTGCGCTGGTCGCCATGGAGACTGAGCATCACTGGAAGAGTGTCCGGTGTGTATGGGCCATCATCGTGATGCAACCCTTACGAAACACAGAACACCTAAAAACCACCATCAGCCCGAATTTATATTATTAAAGCCAGGTTAGCTGGTTTAAAGAGTGAATGTCACGTTCAGGAAATGAATTACTGGTTTTTCTCGCTCATCGACACGATCAACAAAAGAGTGAGCGAGTCACACAATGTCCCGTTATCCGTGTCGACAAAACCCAGAAACCAGAAACCGAGCGAAGAATCAGACAGAGAGAAACAGATTCGCACTGAGTCGGTTCGCCAACACAAACACGTTCATCGTGTGAAATATCGCTTTGATTTGAACACAATGAGCGAATGATGGAGATCAAACACCTACCCTGAGATCAGCCGCTGCTGTGACCCATTTCTGCGTCTTTGTCCTCCGCTGGATGATGATGATGAGGATGATGATGCTGATGCTGATGCTGTCTCTCGCTCACACACACACACACACACACACACACGCTGATCCGCGATGCTCACAGATCTAAATGTTCAACAGCAGAGAATGAGAATCATTCATGAATGACACGTCCTTCAGCGGCTCTAACGGGTGTAAACTGAATTAGTCTGTAAACTGGTAATGTGTCGTGCAGCTGCTGTAGCGCGTCTGCGGCTCTAGAGGGCGACACTCAGCGAGCCTCCCACAGAACAACACAACGCTCACTATTAACGACTTCTTTGTTGTTTATATGCAAAACTTAAATACCACAATAACACAACATTACAGAGAACAACAACACGTGGAAGAACACACAGAGGGGGAAATAAACAAATGGCATTTTTATTAATTAATTGTTAAAAAATATTTTATAAATATTCATTATAGTGATAATAATAAATCTGAAGCTAATGCTTTACAGTTGGGTTTAAATTGAAGGGATCTTGTTATGTGAATGTGAGACTTGCCCATCATACAAACAAATGTTTTAGGGCATGATAAATACTTTTAAATAACTTTTATTTTATTATCGAACAAAAGCTCGTCCGTACGTCTGAAATTATCATTCGGGTAGAGTGCGAATCATCTTGCATAAGTTTGATTAATTGAATTATTATTAGAAATAAAACAATATATTAGCATATTTAATACAGAAAATATAAACGGAAGTAAAAAATTCCATTCATATTCGCCATTGTGGGATTGATTTTTAACGATAACGTATAAACTTTTAATGACAGAGATCCTGAGAGCTGCGATGTTGTTAATCGAAGGTTTATGCTTCTGTTGAAGCCATCAGTTCGCGTGTTTAAACGTAATTTTAAAATAACCATGTTGAACAGCGGAATTCCTGGTGAAAACTACATTACCCATGATCCTGCAGAGGAAGCGTGATGCGTCATGAGCGCTGTTCGCGCGTCACTTCCGCCTGCCTAACACAAACATGAAGCGCATCTACAGATGCGTAAAAGAGCATTTTATTGCTGTCTTATATTTTTCATGTATCTGCTTGTTTCTTTGGTGTTTGATATATGCTGTTATTATTATTTTGACACGGTGAGATTTATATAGCCTATTTCTGTGTGTTGATTTACCTTTTTGTAATCTTTACACTTGTACTGTGCTTGTGGATGATGACTGATATCATGAATAACACTTTCTGACGTAAGAATTAATACATTTCTTATCCGAAAGATTAATACCTCCAGTAAGTAGTTATAAGGGAGATGTTTTCAGCAGGTCAGAAGGACTGTATACAGTCTGTAATCTAAATTTAAAGACTGCATGAAATTAGCTTTATATCATACAAAATAACAAATAAAAACCACCATCAAAATTATGCATCTAAAAATGTGGAGAGTTAGTGAAAAGTCTGTAAGTAAAGTTTTGGTATAATGTTATTTATTTTATTTTTTTTATTGCAGAAAACTAATATTATGGATTTGCGCACATCAAGTTATGGTATTATCCACACAGGAAAAAAAATCACAAAAGCACAAAAATAAGATTACAACATATTTTTTAGAATAGTTTTCATAATGCACAAAAAATATGTGGCACTGTTTTGTTATTTGTAATGAGATGAAACAAGAGGGTCAAATTCAGCAAGAAAAAGGAAAGACTGGAGATTTAAGCAATTTTGCATTCAATATAAGCACATTAACAACATATTCAGCAGATAACAGCTTTGGATATTCATAATAAATAATAACATCTTGAGGATGAAGGTATGTAAGGCTAGAAGCGTAAGAATTTAAATCAAGCCATTATTATTTGGAAATTGGAATAAAAAAAACACAATCACATTGGATTCACAAAGCATCTTTTCAGCCGTCTGTAATTAATTATTTCACACGCGTGCAATATAATACGTCGTCTCTGCGTCGTGACGTGTGCGTCATTTCCATGACAACCGCCGAGGCTTCGCATTCGCGCGACAACAACGAAACATGGACGACGATCAGAGCGCGGAAGAGGTAAGTTAAAGACGATCAAATGTTTGAAATGTACTCAATCAGAAATCAAAGAGAAGATGTTTGCTTTAAGAAATCATTTATCGCATTCCCTGCCTTTATTCTTCGCGCCGCGGTGAAGCTAATCGCTAACAGCTGCTAACCGAGGAACGTTTCCTGAACTAGCGGCGTGTTTACTTCAGTAGATTCGTCGTTTGTTTGGGAATTTCAACACAGGATCCTTCATTGAAGCTTCAAGCAGAGCTACAGCGGATAACAGAGGTGTTTATGGTGTGTTTTATCGTCTGATTTCCTCCAGACGGCGTTCGTTGTGGATGAAGTGAGCAGCATCGTGAAGGAGGTTTGCTCGTCTCTCCGCTTCATCTCTGAGCCTCGTCTTGTGTTTGAGTGATGTGCGAGCGCTTCTTCTCTCTCTGTGCAGTCTCTGGAAGCAGTGATCGGCAGAAACCCGTACGAGCACAAGCGTGTGAACCAGTGGATGTCCAGCGTGGTGGAGCAGAGCCTCGGGCAGCTCAGCAAACTGAGCAAACCCTTCAAATACATCGGTCAGCCTCAGACCCACACCTGACAAACATGATAATGTGTTCATCTGAGATCAGGAGGAGTTTGTTTCTTCATCAGGTTTGGAGAAATGTAGCATTGCATCAGTGTCTCAGCAATGGATGCTCTGCAGTGAATGGGTGCCGTCAGAATGAGAGTCCAAACAGCTGATAAAAACATCACAATAATCCACAAGTAATCCACAGCACTCCAGTCCATCAGTTAACATCTGGAGAAGACAAAAGCTGAGACAAATCCAGCATTAAGACGCTTTTAACTCAAAAATGAGTCTATAATAACGCTTCCTCCAGTGAAAAAGTGCATCTGCTGTTGTCTCTCACATCAAAATCCACCCACAAATTTGTTTAGAGCTGTTTTGGCTTGTAAACGCTGCTTGATCTGTGCAGATTTCTCTCCTGATTCACACCAGAACACTTTTTCACTGGAGGAAGCAACATTATGGATAAAGGACTTGTATTTAGGCCATGGATGCAACAGTTTGAAGTTAAACACACCTAAATGATGGATTTGTTTCTTACAAACACACAGCTTTCACTTCTCTAGAGGTTAACTGATGGACTGGAGTGGTGTGGATTACTTGTGGATTATTGTGATGTTTTTATCAGCTGTTTGGACTCTCATTCTGACGGCACCCATTCACTGCAGAGCATCCATTGCTGAGACACTGATGCAATGCTGCATTTCTACAAACCTGATGAAGAAACAAACTCCTCCTGATCTGGGATGAACTGAGGGTGAACACATCTTCATTTGTGTCTGAACTGTTCCTGTAACGGAGCTGAAGCTCATGGTTATTATGTTACTACAGAATGATCATCTCTGTTCTCTCCATCAGTCACATGTATTATAATGCAGAAAAACGGTGCAGGACTGCAGTCGGCTTCGTCATGTTTCTGGGACAATACTACAGATGGTAAGAGCCGTCCTGAGTTCTATTCCAATAGAAATGTGAACAGCAGTTCTACACACACCTTTGACCCAGCTTACAGAAAAATATGTTCTGATGTTCATATTAAAATGCTACTTCTAATGTTCTTCAAACATTCAAACGTTCAGGTTTTTTAATGTTTTAAAAATGTTTTTCTTGGTTATGTGAACATGAACGAAACATTCCGTTTGATCATTTTGCAAATATTATGGGAATGTTACGCTTAAGTGTTCTTTTAACGTTCTGAAACAAGTCGCAACATTTTAAAAACATCAGATGAACATCTAACAAACATTTTGGGAAGAAACATTATTAATGTTCTAGTAACGTTCTAGGAAGGACGTTTGTTCATCATTTTGACAGAATCTTGCCAGAATATTAGCCAAAGTTATTAGAAGCACAGTGTATTTTATTAATTATACATTTATTTACATTTATACATTTTTATTTTTAGAGGTAATGCTAAAGGAATATTGCAGTATGATATTCTTCATTCGGTCATTCATTTCCAGAAATAAATGTAGTTTGATGTTACAAAAATATCGCCTAATGTTAAACATTTCTTACAATAGCTAATCTATGACAAAACAAAACAAAACAAATACAATATCGTTTGAATTTTTTTTCCATCTCTGGACTTTACACCGTTAAATTATTAGAAGTAAAACTTCTTTGCCCTTCTGTTGCAGTTTATTTGATTTTTTTTTTTTACATTTGCATTTTTTTTTAGAATTCAGAATAATATGTGACCCTGCAGCACAAAAGCAGTGTTAAGTCGCTGGGGTATATTTGTAGCAATAGCCAACAATACATTGTATGGGTCAAAATTATAGATTTTTCTTTTATGCCAAAAATCATTCGGATATTAAGTAAAGATCATGTTCCATGAAGATATTTTGTAAATCTCCTACCGTAAATATATCAAAACTTAATTTTTGATTAGTAATATGCATTGCTAAGAACTTCATTTGAACAACTTTAAAGATGATTTTCTCAATATTTAGATTTTTCTCAATATTTCCAGATAGTTGTATCTCAGCCAAATATTGTCCTATCCCAGGGGTAGGCGAGTTCGGTCCTAGAGAGCCGCAGTCCTGCAGAGTTCAGCTCCAACCCTAATCAGAACTCTGCAGGACTGCGGCTCTCTAGGACCGAACTTGCCTACCCCTGATCTATCCTAACAAACCATACACCAATGGAAAGCTATGACTGGGTTTGTGCTCCAGGGTCACACGCGTGTGTTTGGTCTCTTCTGCAGGCAGCTGCTCGGTCCGATGGGAAAACAAACACCTGTACTGCATCGTCAGTGTGTTCGGACTCGCCATCTAGAGTCACATCAAACACACACCGCTTCTTATGAAACCTTCAGTATTCCTGCATTAAACTCTCCTGTACAATAAAAGCACATGAATTCACCTCTTAAAACCGTCTGAAGAGTTTATTCCACATTTGCTCAGACGTCACAGCAGTGCGAGTGAAGGAGAGCTCCTCGTCTGGACCGAGCTCAGCGGCTTCAGGAATGATCTCATGTTCACGTGGAAAGGCACAGTCATCACACAGTGCTTCTGGGACACTTCATAAAGCCCAGCGACACATCGGACAGATAAACCACTCAATCAAACAAACAAGTCAATAGAAATGCGTAAAACAGCACCGCTCTAGAGTCCTGTCCTCACAGCTCAGTTCAGAAGACAACGCAGTGAAGCAACAGAGCTTACAAAACAAAAACAAGCGCTTCGGTCCTCAGCGGGACCCTGGAAGTGATTCAGACCCACAAAATAATCATCAGAAATACACAAAAACAAGAGAGAAGCACAATAAACCAGGAATGTGAGAAAAGAAGGCTTCTTGAAAATCGATAAACGACATCCAGTGAAGGCAAAGAAACACGAGGCTCAATATTCTCATCCATAAGCACTCACACAGCATCTCCAGAAACAACTCAAACCAGCCAGAAATCAACAGAAATACATGCACATAAGCAGCTTCCTCACACCTTATTAACAGAGTCTGATCGATGAGAAACAACTGGGCCAATCACATAAACACCATCTAGAAATACACAATATGAATCACTCAAAAACCAAAAGAATTAAATATTTTGAGACCCTTAATTAAATTTTGTTTAAATGAAAATTAAGCACATTTACCCTAAACAGTTATTACTGCACTGCAAACAAAAATCTAACTTTATTTATAGAAGTATTTCATATTAATTGAAAATGAACACCTTTTTAATATGTTTATACTTGTGTATAAAAGCACACCTTACATCAAGGTATTATTAGTGTTAATGAATTGAGCGTATCAGGATGATTTTCATTATCTCAGGGTTAAATGTGCTTAATTATCTCAAATGCAAATGAAAATATAGACTATTGATTTTTCCCCTTTTAATTTGGAGGTGAAACACGCCACTGAGCCCAGCAGTGTTGGAGCACTGATCTGAGATCAGGTGTAATGACTTCAGAAACACAACACTGTAGCTTTAAAAATACATCGGCTCGTATATTTACACACTGTGTTAGTCTATATACATGTGTTCGGTGTGCACCCGCGATCCGGAGTCACTCCGCTTTCAGTCGCTCCCGCTCTCATCCTGGTATTTGGCGCTGGCTTTGATGGCGCGGCCGTTCTGGAGAGGCGTTTCCTCATAATCGCTCCTTCAGAGAAACAGATCCACACAGGAGCATCAGAAAGCATGGTGTGGATGGCATGAGTGTCCTGATGTGGGGACGTACCCGTAAATGACGTCATCGTCCGAGTCGTTGAGCATGGAGAAGGCAGGGTTGTCCTTCAGCTGCGAGTCTGCACACACACACACACACACACACACACACACACACACACATCTACGTGACGAAGGCCAGCTCTGCTGCAGAAACAGCGCACGGCGATGGACTCACCGTACAGAGCGCTTGTGGAGGGCGAGTAGACGAACGCTAGCGTGTAGAGATAGAAGTTCAGCAGACCGTAGAAGGACAGAAACTCCGCGGGTGCAGAGACACACTCAGGAGAACCACAGATCAACCACTTTAAACCAGGCTTATTACTGCTAACTAAAACCATGGAAAAACACCATTTAGAAAAACTAAAAACTAGTACTAAAATTAATAATAAATAACACTATAGACAAAAATAAAAATGACAAAACACAAAATTACTAAAACCTAAACTAAAATTAAAATGAAAAAAATTATAAAAATAAAATCTAATTGAAAATAACACTGCAATACAGTAGAAAAAAATTAATAAAAAACTATACAGACATTTTAAATAAAAATGACAAAAAACATGAATAAAACAAATGGCTAAATTACTAAAACTTAAATTAAAAAGTTAAAACTTGAATAAATTAAAAGTTGTAATATATATATATATATATATAACTAGAACTTTAAAATATTTTTGTTACTTGAAATAAAAAAAACGTTAACTAAAAATAAAATATTAAAAAAAACTTAAACTTGTTTTATTTAAACTGTGTTTAGTTCAACTTAATGCTCTAAAAAATAAAAATAAAACGGAAATAAAAATGAATAAAACTGTACAGAGACGTCGACAAACACAGTAAAGTTACTATAAAAAAAACGTTAACTAAAAATAAAATATAAAAAAAAACTTAAACTTGTTTTATTTAAACTGTTTAGTTCAACTTAATGCTCTAAAAAAATAAAAATAAAACGGAAATAAAAATGAATAAAACTGTACAGATGTCGACAAACACAGTAAAGTTACTAAAACTTGGAAAATATAAAAACTAATTCAAAATATTAATAAAAACTACAATAGGATCCTTAATGCTTGCTTTAAACCAATGAAACGAAACGATTTTTCTGTTCTTAATGGATTTCTAACAATTTGTAGTTTTAGTTTTATAGCGATGGATTTCCAGTGAAGAATCAGATGTGAGGGAATCTGGAATGAAAGGATATAATTCTGGTAGTGAGTGGAAAGTTCGGAAACAAAGTTGTCTTGCAAAGCCTTGGAGCCGAATCTCAGGTACAGAATAACCACACTGAGGAAACAGGAAGAGGAAATGACAACACAAAACTCACTCATGTGAAAGTGTGTATTTACACAGGTGTGTGTGTGTGTGTGTGTGAGAGAGAGAGAGAGAGTGTGTGAGCGTGTGTTTGTGTGTGTGTGTGTTTGAGTGTGTGTTTGTGAGTGTGTGTGTGTTTGAGTGTGTGTTTGTGAGTGTGTGTGTGTGTGTGTGTGTTACCTGTGTAGGGTGTGTTCTTGAGCTCGGAGCAGGCACACAGCACCAGAAACACCAGATACAGCACATACACAGCCACCAGCAGCAGGAAGAAGACCTTCATGCCCTGCAGCAAACACACACACACACACACACACACACACAAAATATACACACACACACATAAACATGCAGGGGGAAAATGAGATGACGTGGAGGAAGTCTAGCTCACATAAACATGATCTCCAAACACGTGCTACAGAGAGCCGTGAGTCTTGAAGGAAACATCAAGATCTTTCAGCTGTAAGAGTTTGTTGTCTGTGTGAGAGTGTGTGTGTGTGTGTGTGTGTTACCTGTGTAGGGTGTGTTCTTGAGCTCGGAGCAGGCACACAGCACCAGAAACACCAGATACAGCACATACACAGCCACCAGCAGCAGGAAGAAGACCTTCATGCCCTGCAGCAAACACACACACACAATATACACACACACACACACACAATACACACACACAAACAAACACACACACAAACAAACACACACACAAACAAACACTTGAATTTAACTCTTTCCCCGCCAAACACGTTATTTTTCGTGCTTCCGTGTTTGCACTGTTATACGCTAGGGGGCACTATTACGCATCTCCTGAATGAGTCTAGAATCACTCGATCAAAAACACAGGCGAGGAAGACGCAGAAACGAGCGATCTCAGATGTAAGCGCATGCATATGAAAAATAATGCGATCATCAACACTAACCGCGTATAAATGAAAACTGCCTGATGTTAGCGAGTGAAATGTGGATCCAGAAAGTGTGCAAGCTTTGGGAGCGCTGATGGAAGCCATCTACTGTATCTTTGCTTTGATAATATTACCGAATATGATCCAGATGCAGTATTTGATAAAAAATACGATTTTCTCAGCTTTTTGCTCAAAATGAAACCTACCTACATTCAAGTGTTTATAAAAAATACAATGCTTGAAGCTAGAATAAAACTCAATGTTTTTTTCTTTGAAAGTAGACGGTCTGATCTTTATTTGATGTATTGCATGTTCAGATATTCACACAACACAATATTCTGGGGGCCATGAAATTTTAATGAAAATCAGCAAAAACACTGGCGGGGAAAGAGTTTTTCTGTATATATTCCATATTTTCTGGAATGTAAATTGCATTTGTTTTTATCATCTGAAACATGCTGCGACATATTTCAAAAAGACTTCAATTTGATTTTTTACTGTATTTTCTGTAATACAAGTTGCATTTTTTTATCATCTGAAAATCTGCGACTTAACTGTATTTTTCAGACTTTGACGTTGGGTTAGGGTTAGGTCCTATCCTAAATATTGTCCGATCCTAACAAACCATACATCAATGGAAAGCTTATTTATCTTTAGCTTTCAAATGATGTATAAATCTCAATTTAAAACAAATTGACCCTTATGACTGGTTTTGTGCTCCAGGGTCACAAATTATACATTTGAAATATTTGGACAGATGCTATTTTATTAAGCAGGAACAATCGGTGTGGAGCTGAAAGAAACTCACCTGGAAGTTCTGGATGTCCACGTTGTACTGATACGTGGGATCCTGCAGCTCATTCACCCTAATAAGAAGAAAAATCTGATGAGAATCCCGTAAGGCACCAGCAGTGACAGCAGAAAACAGCTGCAGGTTTCTCACGTTTGCCAGATTCCCAGCGTGACGGCCGAGAGCCACAGCAGCCCCACGATCAGCAGCTTGGGCAGGTAGAAGGTCAGGAACCTCCGGTCTCCCTGCAGGTGAGAGCACAGGTGAGCAGAGCAGACAGGTGTGTAGTGCACTAGTGAGGGCCCTTCACAGAGCGTACCTGCACTCGGATGCCGTGATACACACACAGCCAGAAGAGCAGCAGCGCACACAGGAACAGAGCTTGGAAGAAAGCGTCCAGAGTTCCCGGAAACCAGCTGTTCACCAGGAACGACAGTGGGAAGAACGGATCTACAACAGCAGCACATCAGACACCAGTGTTGGGGAAAGTTACTGTTAAACGTAATGCGTTACAATATTGCGTTACTCCCTAAAAAAGTAACTAATTACATTATTTGGTTACTTTTTATGGAAAGTAATGCGTTACAATATTGCGTTACTCCCTAAAAAAGTAACTAATTACATTATTTGGTTACTTTTTATTGAAAACATTAATATTTCTGTGGTAACCGTGATTCATTTTATTTTTCAGGATTCACAGCTGAATAGAAAGTTCAAAAAGACAGCATTTATCTGAAAAGTAAATCTAATGTAACGTTAGAAATGTCTTTACGGTCACATTTTTGTTTACATAATGTATGTGTACTGTGTATATTTATTATGTATATATAAATACACACACATACAGTACAGTATATATTTTGAAAATATTTACATGTAAACATTTATATAATTTATATTATATATAAATATATTTAATATACAAATATAAAATTTTTCTTAAATATATACATGCATGTGTTTGTATTTATATATATACATAATAAATATACACAGTATACACACATATATTATGTGAACAAAAACTAATTCAATCCTTTAATTTGCATTTAATATTAATATGCAGAGACAAATTTTATAACAAACTAGATTGTCGTCTTTTTGTAACTTGTGACCTTTTTGCCACATAATAGTTTGCTTTCACTTAAATGATTAGATCTGTTCAGATGCAGTATTAGGTTACTTAGTTACTTTTTATGGAAAGTAATGTGTTACAATGTTGCATTACTCCCTAAAAAAAGTAACTAATTACGTTACTTAGTTACTTTTTATGGAAAGTAATGCGTTACAATATTGCGTTACTCCCTAAAAAAGTAACTAATTACATTATTTGGTTACTTTTTATGGAAAGTAATGCGTTACAATATTGCGTTACTCCCTAAAAAAGTAACTAATTATGTTACTTAGTTACTTTTTATGGAAAGTAATGCGTTACAGTACTGCGTTACTCCCTAAAAAAGTAACTAATTACGTTACTTAGTTACTTTTTATGGAAAGTAATGTGTTACAATGTTGCATTACTCCCTAAAAAAAGTAACTAATTACGTTACTTAGTTACTTTTTATGGAAAGTAATGCGTTACAATATCGCATTGCTGTGTGAAATTGATTAACTATATGAAGTGGTATAAATATATACATTTTCTGCCCCCGTGTCTTGAATATTGTGATCATTCTAAATGTGTTTTAACAGACTGAATCATGCAGTGAAAAAACATACTCTAAATACATACACTAAATACATACTATCATATGTTGCTGCCTCCATTACTGTGCTATACATTTAAATGTAACGTCTTTTAATTTTATACTATATATTTATATATTAATACATTTACTTGTTTTTCATGAATGTATTTTACAATACAAAGAGCAATGTAACACTCTACCAGATTTAATCCTATACTTATTCACTTTTATTTGTTCCCCACTAAATAATGTTGTTTCACTAAATGTTTAGATTTTTAGAATTATTGTGCACTCATGATTTTTCTAGAATAACGTTTGCTACTGAATTATCTCCGACCTAGTTTATAATAGTATTTTTGTCATAGATTATGATTATATCATTTTTTCATTTGTTATTTTTCTTCAAAATGAAGTTGTCTATATTTAGTAGATTGTATTTAACACACAGAACAGAGATGATCAGGTCAACACACAGAGGTATAGAAATTCTACATTGACTAAAAAACAGTGCTGTATTGGATCCGTATCAGCCGATACTCAGAATCTTTGGTATCGGATCGGTTGTTCTGTGTATATTTATTATGTATATATAAATACACACACATACAGTACAGTATATATTTTGAAAATATTTACATGTAAACATTTATATAATTTATATTATATATAAATATATTTAATATACAAATATAAAATTTTTCTTAAATATATACATGCATGTGTTTGTATTTATATATATACATAATAAATATACACACTACACACACATACTGTATACGTAATTTGAATGTGATTATTGTTTGACAGCACTAGTTTTTAATCATCCAGTTGTGATGTAAAGGAAGTGAAACGTGTGTCTCACCGTTATACAGCAGCAGCAGAGGAAGAAGAACAGACATCCACTTCTGCTCGATGCCCCAGTCCCTCATGGAGAACTTGCGTAAGGAGTGAGCGAACACACACTGCACAAACACAGCATCATCACATCAGACGCTCGTGAAACACTCAAAACATGCAGACGGTGTGCGGCGGTAACTCACGGTCACGATGAAGGTCATCACCACAAACACGAAGCGGAACCAGATCTCCACCTGAGAGAACGTGGCGCTGTACATCTTAAACTGAGGAAGCACACAACACAGAGAAACGGCTCAGCTGTGATTCCTGGATCTGCTGAATTAATTGAGAGCTGGTCTGTCTGTTTAGCGGCACACTTTGTGCATTTCGTAGTGTTTCTGAAAACCAGCACAAACACATGATTCCTGTCTGGATCTCATTCAGATTACAGATATTTGTTCAATTCTCGGCACATTTTCACACGTGTGACAATATTGTATTTCTAATCCTGATTTCAAGCTCAGAATTATGACCAGAGACAGAAGGAAACGCAAAGATGAGCAGATGATTTCTGCTCTCACTGCATACAAACAACCACTGGGGAAAACATGAACATCACAGGTTTTGTGCTTATATAACTGCATTCTAATGCCGATTTTAATAATTTTTTTCAGAATGAATCGCACCACATTAAATTGAGTTTTGAGCATAGCTTTGCTCTGGTAAGTGGAGTTAAGCTGCAGCTCCTAAACTTTGGAATAGTTTGCCTGTAAATGTGACTTGCTCCTTCACGAGACAGTTTTAAGTCGGTTCTCAAATCTTATTTGTTTTCTCTGGCTTTTGATTAATGTCAGTTTAAGGGTTTGATGTCATTTTGCTCTGATTCTATTTTAATGTGTTTATTTTTCATATGATGCATGTTATGTTTCTTATATGCTGTGTTTTGTTGTACAGCACTTTGGCACAACTCTAAATGTGCTATAGAAATACATTGACGTGACTCCTTGGAATCCTTTTGTGTCATTAAAACCAAAACATTTGACATTTGACCTGCTTTTTGTGGTCACTTATTTTGTGAAAAACTGTACATGATGGAAGGTTTTTGATTTTCCAGCATCAAATGATCTACTATCATGTGTATTATGTTTTTGCAGGACAGTGTTAAAATCTGAACTCACCACAAAAGTCACATTTTTGATTTTGTCCTTCAGGCCGTCCTGCAGGTTCCTGAAGCTGACGTTGATCTTGTACTGAGTGTAGTTCAGATATCCCAGATGCAGCACGATGATCTCGTCACACGCCTGCTGATGCTGTAACACACACACACACAGACGCACGCACACAGAGACACAGACACACAGAGACACAGACACACGCACGCACACACAGAGACACAGACACACACATGCACACACACACACGCACGCACAGAGACACGCATGCACACACGCACGCACAGAGACACAGACACACAGAGACACAGACACACGCACGCACAGAGAGAGACACAGACACACACATGCACACACACACACGCACGCACAGAGACACGCATGCACACACGCACGCACAGAGACACAGACACACAGAGACACAGACACACGCACGCACACACACACAGAGACACAGACACACGCACAGAGACACAGACACACGCACAGAGACACAGACACACGCACAGAGACACAGACACACTCACGCAGAGACACAGACATACACACAGAGACACAGACACATGCACAGACACACACACAGAGACACAGACACATGCACAGAGACACACCGAGGCACAGACACACGCACAGAGACAGACACACGCACAGAGACAGACACACAGAGACACAGACACACGCAGAGACACAGACACACGCACGCACACACACGCGCGCGCGCACAGAGACAGACACAGACACACGCACGCAGAGACACAGACAGAGACAGACACACGCATGCAGAGACACAGACACACACACAGAGACACACCGAGGCACAGACACACGCACAGAGACAGACACACAGACACACGCACAGAGACAGACACACAGAGACACAGACACACGCACACACAGAGACAGACACAGACACGCAGAGACACAGACACACGCACAGAGACACAGACACACGCATGCAGACACACGCATGCAGAGACACAGACACACACACAGAGACAGACACACAGACAGAGACACACCGAGGCACAGACACACACACACACACACACACGGACACACACAGAGACACGCACACACACACACACACAGACCTCCTGTTATGATGTAGATTTTTTTTAACTTTCATCCCAGTATTTCTGTGATAATATGAATGACTGTAAGACAGAAATAATAGTGTGTAGTTGAAAAGACTGTTTGTAAAGCCGTTTCTTACCCAAACATGCTAACGGTCTGCTTTTAAAATGTAATTTTGGCAGCTCCTGAAATGGGTCATACTAGCTATGTTTCCATCCAAAGATTCTAATTAAATTTATGCGCAAGACTGGAATATCGCATTAAACATTTGTGAATAAAGCACCGTTTCCATCCAACGAGTCCAAGAGAACAAAAGCGTCACTCCCTGATAAACTGGCACTAAATATCTCTAAGAAAAGGAGGAGAAGCCACTGAATATAATAATTATGATAAATGACTTGCACCTCAGAGCTTATTTAGACACAAGGCTTTAATTTTATAGCAATTTTGAATTTCAAATAAATGTAAATGTAAACTTTTTTAGATACTTTTTGAGTCCAACCTTAGGTCTGTATTCCAAAGCGTTCATGAATTATACCAATTTGAGTTTGTCTATGTCTGTGTTAAAAAATGGAGGGTGACTCTTAATTAGATTTAAATAAACGAATGGCTTAATGGTGCAGCTGTGACTCACGGCGGCGCAGCGCAGGCTTCGGTTCTTGTTGTGAACGTTGTTGCTGATGCGCATTACGCTAGCGTCCTGCATCACACCCTGCAGCTCCACGTTCATCCCCAGCTCTTCCCAGCTCAAATCTGCAACTGAACACACACTTCATCAGCTTACACACACACTCTCACACTCACACACACACTCTCTCACTCACACTCTCTCTCACACTCACACACACACACTCTCTCTCACACACACTCAGGGAAGGCGGCTCTCACTGCTGCTGTACAGTTGGATGATGCAGGTCAGCCACAGCTGCTGGTTGTAGTTGGACAGCGGTGGAGAGTGGAGGTCAAACGGGCCGCTCTGAACACAAAACAGCTCACATTTACCCCAAAAACATAGACTCGCACTAACCAACAAACGTCTGGAATAATTAAGATGTTTTAATGTTTCTGAAAAATTCTCTTCTGCTCACCAAGGCTGTCATTTCATCAAAAAACACAGTAAAAAAATTTGAAATATTATTCTAATCTAAAATATGTTTTCTATGTGAATATCTGTTAAACTGTAATGTATTTCTGTGATGCGCAGCTGTATTTTCAGCATCATTACTTCTGCTCACCGAGGCTGCATTTATTTGATCAAAAATACAGTAAAAACAGTGAAATATTTTTACAATTTCAAGCTGTTTTCTGTGTGAATATCTGTTAAACTGTAATTTATTTCTGTGATGCGCAGCTGTATTTTCAGCATCATTACTCCAGTCTTCAGTGTCACATGATCTTCAGAAATCATAATAATATGCTGATTTGCTGCTCAAGAAACATTTCTGATTATTATCAATGTTGAACACAGTTGTGCTGCACAATATTTTTGTGGAAACCGTGATACATTATTTTTCAGGATTCACAGATGAATAAAGTTTTAAAGAACAGCATTTATTTGAAATAGAAATATTCGTCCACACACCTTTTACACCGACTTACTCAATTTTCTTTTATTATTTATTATATTAAAACATAATTTTTGATTAGTAATATGCATTGCTAAGAACTTCATTTGAACAACTTTAAAGATGATTTTCTCAATATTTAGATTTTTTTGCTCCCTCAGATTCCAGATTTTCAAATAGTTGTATCTCAGCCAAATATTGTCCGATCCTAACAAACCATACATCAATGGAAAGATTATTTATTCAGCTTTCAGATGATGCATAAATCTCAATTTCAGGAAATTGACCCTTATGACTGGTTTTGTGCTCCAGGGTCACATATTTCTCACATTTGAATGGACAATTTTTACTGTATTTTTGACCAAATAAATGCAGTCTTGGTGAGCAGAAGAGACTTCTTTCTCACACACACACACACATTCTCACTCTCTCACACAGACACACACACACAAAATAAATAAAATATGGAGTAAATCTGCAGTTGATTGCATGAATCTCACCTTTGATGCATTGGTGCTGACACTCAAACCGTTGTAGTAATTCTCACTAATGATCTTGGGTCCTGCAGGAGAGACATTCATCAGTCAGTTCAGCTGCACATCTCATATAATAACTCCTCGCTTTGGCCTGCTATCAATCACTGTGTGTCTTTTTCTTTTCATTCCACTCTCAGCGGTGTAAAGTTTCATTGCTTTGTGAATGAGATTTGTGATTCTGATTCACTAGATCTTTGAGGGCTGCGAATGAAAACGTTAGAGTCCGTCATTGTGAAGCGCATGATCGTTATCCACTCGACTGATTACAGGCCTCAAAAGAACAAAGAACCGTGAAGGGACGGTGAGCAGTGCATGCTGGGAAACGGGCTTCTGTCTGCAGGAAAGCAGAGCCTCACCTGACACACCGATGAGTGTGGAGACGCCGAAGCAGAAGAAGAAAACCACGAACACCAGAACGAAGTGCCTCTTAGAGAGAGTGTAGAGACGCATGGGGGCCAACCTGCAGCACACACACACACACACACACACACACACAGACATATATACACACACACAAATATTAAGAGTCATGAGTCTGCAAACATACACAGCACATTCAATATTGATTTAAATCCACTTACACAATCACACTTAAGTTTTTAATTGTTATACATAACTTTTTTTAATTCATATATAAATATATAGTAATTAATAATTGTTAATACATTTTTACAACGTATATATAAATACACATATATATATATTTATACAGTATAGACGACAAACACATAATGCACAAATTTTTTAAATATACATTTTATATGTAGAATATTAAATAGCTATATATACACATTACACACCAATTTAATTACATATAAAAATGCACAAAATTTCTCAATATAAATTCTATATCTAAAATAAATAAATAGTTTTATCATTTTATATATAATTCTCTGTGTGTGTGTGCATATATATATATATATATATATATATATATATATATACACACGCACACAGTTTTATATATATATATATAAAAAACTTTTTTCAGTTTTGATATTATTGCAATGATGTTTAAATTTGACTGCGGAATGTCTATATTCACTAAAGCGATGGTTGTAATGGTCTCTAATGTTATTGTGGTGTACATGTGATTTCTGACAGATCTGAACACAGTGAGAGTCCCTCGACAACATACAAGAATACTGATATTAATCAAAATATGAACTTGGCACATGCACAATCCTTAAATCAACTCGCATAACTGAGAATGAGATCAGTGCCTAACTGTCAAGAAAACACTCAACAAATGCTGCAGAGCTAAAACAGGCATCAAGCAACGGTTTAATACAAAACTCATCACTAGTTACTCAAACAACCAGAAACATGTTTAAACCACACACACACACACTCTCTCTCTCTCACACACACACACTCTCTCACTCGCACACACACACACTCTCTCACCACTCACTCACACACACACACACACTCTCACACACACACACACACACTCTCTCACTCGCACACACACACACACAGACACACACACACACACAGACACACACACTCTCTCTCACTCACACAGACACACACACACACACAGACACTCACACACAGACACACACACACTCTCTCACACTCACTCACACACACAGGAAATTGGATGAGATCACGCCCACCTGAGACAGCGGCAAACACGACACAAAAGCGACTGTAAATATAAAGAAACTGCACATGTAACGAATGAATTATTGATAACAGTAAACACAGTTTAGACCGCCGCGAGACTCTAGCGCGTCTAGAAGAGTTTATGAGATGTAGTGCTGGTGCTCCGCGCGCTTACCGCTCCATCCTCGCGCAGCTCGACGCGAAGCACGCGGGACTATGTTTGCTGGCGGCGCATATCCGCACACATCAGCCCGCTGACGTCACCCGCCCCAGGTCACGTGACCTCCGCCGCAGTGCGCATGTGCCATCTGCGCTATTGCTTTAATACCAATTAATATTATTTGCTAATCAAATGTGGCGTTTGAATGCCTCAAAGAGCAGCTTTAGTGTGACCGAATGCGCAGGGATTCATTCGAAAAGAACATTTACAGCATATTTAAAATAAAAATATTACATATGTAGCCTATTAGAAATTAATGACAGGTGTATGGACATATGCACATTTTAATTCGAGGGCACGCTATTTTTAACGCGCCATTGTTTGTGTCTATATGATGTAATAATTATATTTAATTAACACTTTCACAACACAAAGGCCTTCTCTATTCGTTTTCTATTCTATCTGCTCGTTTTCTTTTTGTTACACACACACACGGTTAAGCTAACTGAGACTATCATTGGTTGTGATTGCTTCTATTGTCTTCATTTGTAAGTGGCTTTGGATAAAAGCGTCTGCTAAATGACTGAATGTAAATGTAAATGTATAATAAACCAGGACTTGATGTAGTTCCCGTTAATGGCGCTGAGTAAGCGCTTGTTACCTGTAGAAGCGCTCGGTTTTGTAGGGCGTCAGATCTTCCTGGAGCTCTCTGAAGGCGTCTTGTATTCTCCTGCAGAGCTGCTTCATCTTCTCCAAGCTCTCCGGCCGCTCCATCGCTGCGTTTCACGCGGGTTTTCTGCGGCTGTGTGGACTGGAAATGCAGGCGATGCTGTTTAACTGTGCGTCTGCTGCGGGGGTCACGTGACGGCACGCGTTCAGGACCACGGACAGGGTTCCGCGCACTCGGTAATTTTTTGCATGCTGATGCATTACAATGTCTAGTTTTATAAAACCCCTTTCCTTTGTGCATCACTGCCATCTTGCTATGAATAAAGCGAGAGCATGGATGCACATGAATTAACAGAGATCTACTTGCTCAGATCTTGTGGTAGCACCTCTAATATCAAGACCTAATCTCTAATTTAGCTCATCCTCCGTGACATGAAATGGGCTGATGGCACAATAGGTGGCTCCGTGCGCACTGTGCTGTATGATAGGGTTAATAGTTTCTTGTGTGCACGTAAAAGTCTTGAGGCTATGTAATACGGTGCTAAGAATATCGTAAGAAACCCAAAATGAAAAATGAAAAAGTGCACCAGTCGTGTTTAACAATCACTAAACAGCTGCCATAAAAACACTTCTTGTATGATAAACTTGTTTTCAGTAAATTCTTAAATTTTCTATAATAAAAAACTAAATAGGGGCAAAAAAAACAACTAGAAATGCACATTTTTTCCATACTTTTTCAGACCTGGAAATGACTTAAATCAATAAATAATAAATAATAATAAAACATTAACACTAAATACAAGTTAATACACCAACTATAGTGACAAACATGACTAATCAGTCATAGAAAGGTTTAAAAAAAAACAATTAAGTGTGTTAATATTGTTTTGCCATTTATTTATTTTGGGTATAATGTAGTATATACAGTACATATATTAATGTAAACAGTATAATATACTGGTTCAAGTCTGAAGTAAAACATTTAAGAAACCCCATAAAAAAAATTATATTATATTATTTTATTTAATTTTTTCTTTACTTTATACTATTTTTTAGAAAATTAGCAAAACAATAATGTTTTGTTTTTATTCAAAATTATATATATTTTTTTACATTTTCCTGTTCAACACTAAAGCTTCTTTGACACAATCTGTATTGTATAAAGCACTACATAAAGGTTACTTAAAAAAACAAATTATAAATGAATAAAATATAATAATATATACAAACATATAAATTATACAAAAAATTGACTGCAAAATGCAAGAGAATCTAGTGTTTCAGAGAGCCATTTAACAAGCAAAGTTAATGCACTCTATACAAAAATTGAATCATGGTAAAGTAATGGTAATACCACGCTGCTCTGATATATGCACTGCTGCTGAGTGACTAAAATATTACCGTACTTCAAAAAAACATTAACATAGCGCTTCATTTTATAATCACGTTTCTCCCATGTGCTTTTATGTTGCTGATAAAAGCATGCAAATGTGTCGTGAATTTGGCATAATCAGTGTGTTTATAATAATCGAGGAGAGTTCAACCTGTACACTTTTATTGGGCTACACACCGACAAAGACACAATTCAGCTTTTGAGGAACAACAAAACTGTTCATTACAGTACAATGCAAACCCTAGTGCATAGGCTTCAAGTTAGTCACGCCTGACCCCCAAAAACTGGGAACTGGCAAAGCATGATACCCCTAAATATACAGTACAGAGCAAATAAACATATCTAAACAAGTCCTAACTTTCCTGCCGAGCAGTCACCTCAAAACCAAACGGCATCATGGGTGTATTTCGCTTATTTCAGACAGAATGGACTAAAGCAAACGCGAATCTAAAAAGTGTTGCAATTATAACGAACCGTAACAAAGCCGCTCCATGCTCACCTCTTCTAAAACAAACACGTTCTTTAAAAAACAAGTAACATCATTTACCCAGCATGCCTTTGTGCCGTTCAATACAAACATTCGTTCACCAAAGTCACGTTTCTCCTTCTCCAAATCACTGTCCTACCAATACACATTTCATATAATAACGGCACGATAAAGTCCACTAAAGACACTCGTAGTAAAGACGCTCCGATCTCAGTGGATTCTCCAGATAATGTAACAGTGAGCAGTGTTGGGGGTAACGCATTACAGTTACGTAATCAGATTACTTTTCCCAAGTAACTAGTAAAGTAACGCATTACTTTTTAATTTACAAGAGAATATCGGAGTTACTTTTTCAAATAAGTAACGCAAGTTACTTTGTTTCCAATTTATTGATTGACAGCTCTGGTGTTGCCATGGTGACAGAAATCAGAAGATGTTACTGTAGTTCAAAATAAATATGAATATGCATTAATTCATCTCACCCACAAAAAAAAAAAAACACAGATTCAGTATTCCTCAAAATGAATAAAAATAATGCAACTCAGAATATGACGCAAACCTGCAATAATTAAATGTTAAACAACACAAATATCCTTTATGTATTTAATCCCATTCTATTAAAGGGGTCATATGACGTTGCTAAAAAGAACATTATTTGGTG